GGTGCGTTCGCCGTGAGATCGACCTACCAGAAGCCACCACCGACATCGAGCAAGGATATCCCTATAACTCCGCTGCGACCCGAGCCCTCGTCCCCAGCCTGGCCTTCCAAGCCCCTCCCCCCGTTCGGTCTTTGCTATCACCTGGTGTGTGTTTCCCGCCCATGGGATGTTTTAGCGCGTGTGTTGCTATCGATGGTTATTCCTTCAATCCTGGGGGTCTTGCGTTAGAGCGCGCGGGCTGGGGCGTGGTCATGGTTGACCGTCACGGGGTGTACGACGGGGTCCTGTACGGGCCCTTGCCCCACCCAGTCTTGCAGGCAGGATGTGCTGAAGTATATGATTTGTAGGTGTTGCTCGGCCATGTTGGGGTCGAAGGTGCCACCGTTGCTTGCGACTGCCAGATGGTAGTGGGCATCTGGGAGAAGGGAGCTCCTCATAATCTCGATGCTGTAGCATGTGCCGAGCTCTGGAGACGCCTGTTTGCCAAGCGCTCTGATTTGTCTTGTGAAGTCACTCGAATTAAGATCCGATGCCACCAGACATGGGCCAAGGCTAGCAGCCGAGGCACGGCATGGTGGGCACGGCGAGGCCATCGAAAAGCAGACCGAGTGGCCAAGCTCGGCGCGATGCAGCACCCCGTCCCGCCTGATTTAAAAATTGAGCTCAAGGCCCACGATTTCCAAGTGCGGGGTCGGGCCCTTTTGTTGGCGCGTGTCGGGGGAGCTTTATCCAGGATTAAGTTTGCTGACGCGGACCGTCTTCGAGCCAAACGACTCAAGGCTCCCGAGGAGCTAGAATACGCGCTTCAGCCGAACGGCCATCAGACCATACAGGTGGGCAAGGGATCTGTCTGCAGAGTTTGTGGCATCAGAGATTGGTCTCGCGGTGCAATCTGTGCGTTTCCATGTACTGGGCTCCCACGTACTGCTAGACAAGCTCACCCCTCCCATCGAATCTGGTGTGGCGAAGGTGACAGGATCTGGTGCAGTGTCTGTGGGGCGCTCGGCATGAAGAAGGTCACACTTTTAGCTGAGAGGTGCCATAACGGCCCTCGGAACAAAGGTGCGAGCCAATCCCTGACTATGCTGAAGAGCGGGATTGGTCCCAGCTCCAAAGTACGGTTTGGGAGGTCCTTTCCGCTCCACCGTTGACCCCGTGCTGAACCATTCCCCCCCCTTGTTCGTGCCATGTGTTACGTCAGCGGGACATGGTGCGCCAAGGACCTAGAAGACCTAGAGGAGGAGGAGTGCACGCAGCAGCGTCTGAAGACACCATGGCCGTCAGGAGCCGTGAACCAGGAGGAGTGAGGAGGGGCTGACGAGGGGGAGTAGGATGACGAGGAGGAGGAGGAGGAGGAGGAGGAGGAGGAGGAGGAGGAGGAGGAGGAGGAGGAGGAGGAGGAGAGAGGTTTGGCCTTCTGCGGCTGCCGCCACGATTGCTTTTGATGTTTGTTCTCTCCTCACTCGTCAACCTCGCCTTCGTCTCGTCGTTTTGATACTGCGTGACCTCGTTGTCGTCGTCCTTGTCCTTTTCTCGCTCGCCTCCGCCTGTCTGCCTCCTTGGCCGTTCTGGCTCAAGCTGATGGTTCAATGAACATGTCCTAGTTGCGCCCAATCCTTAGCGTTGTGATGCTTCGTGTTCTCATCCTCGCGGCTAGTCTCCGTCGAGCTTGGCGTGCTCGCGAGAGTGGTCTCGTCCTGGCCCTGGCGATGCGCGTTACGACGAAGTACTGATGCGGAGGACACAGACGCCGGCGCCAGCGAAGGAGGTCGCGCGCGCCCTGGAGCTCCAAGGCGCACGGTGAGCACAATCCGCACGACGCCGTCACGACTTGCCAAGGACTGCAGCGGAGAGCTTCGGGAACCGAGGCGCTGCGGCGCCCCAGTCGAGCCCTCCTGGAGGGCCGCCTCCGAGTCGGGGCCCTGTTCGGTCCGGTCGATCCGATCCGATGCCGGCGGTGGCCGGCCCGAGCTGATCCGACTTTGATTTCCGGGCGATCCGTCGTGGCCCGAGGTTTCCGTGGCGCTGGCACGCATCCCGGCGCCGCTGCGTCAATGCGATTCCGACTCCGAGCCGACGCGGTCCGATTCGATACGCGCTGCGATACGATCCGGGTCTCCGGTGTTCTGGGCCTCCTATAGATGGGGTCCGAGCAGAGGGGATCGGAAGACTGCCCCGCATCGCCGACGCCCGACGATGCGGGCCGATGCGGAGCCCGATTCTCCCCACGCCGACGTCGCCGATGCATCGCCGACGCCGCAGATGCACCGCCGAAGCATCGCCGATGAATCGGCGATGCGGCGCGATCCTCGGACCCCACCTGCCCGGACCCCACTTGGGAGGCCTCTAGATTCGATGCTGACCTTGGCTGCTCTGATGCCCACGTCTTGAAACGCAGCACGTGCCGTGCTCGAGACGTCCGTGTTCGAAGCGCACGTGTTTTTTTGTTGGCCTCCGCATCGGCGGCCACGGGTCGGACGCTCGCCTGCGTCCGTCGGTCGGTCGGGTCGGGTGTTCCGTCTGCGTGCTGAGCTCCGCGTCGAGACGCTGCGTGCTGCGTGCTGCGCATCGGGGCGGCCAAGGTTGCCGACGGCTCCCGCCTCGCCGTCGGGGGATCGCCGGCGCCCGCTCCGTGCCTCCGTGCGCGGCCGGGCCGCGCTGCTGCTGCGGCCGCCTGGGGGCGGCCGCCTGCAGCAGCGGCAGGCGATGCGCGGCAGCTGGCCTTAAGTCGGGCGTGGCCCTCTAGAGGAGGAATATTCGAGAATAGCTACAAAAATAGTCCAGGGACGATTTTTCTACGATCTGTCGACCATTTGGGGGCATTCTTGGGGTATTTTCTATGTTTCGCCCAAAATCCGCCTGTAGGGGGACATGCCCGACCTAAAGCTGGCCTGGGCAAGACTTGGAGGCCCAGAGGTGGACACCAGCACCCCAATGCTTCTAAATCCCCTTTCCTGGCGACGAATCAAGCCTACAATCTGTGAGGCGTGCGACTTCGCTGCGGGCTGAAGCTACCAGCCCAACTCCAAGTCCAATGGATCTCTCTATCAAATGCTATGGGATTTGACTCTGAGATCTTCGGTTGGGTTGGAAATGGAGTGGCCTTCGGGCCTGTGAGCGCCGCGGCAGTCGGCCTCGGCAAGACTCGGAGGCCTAGAGGTTGACACCAACACCAATATCGGCGGTGTGCCCCCACCCAGGGAGGATGATCCCGATCCCGGTGATGGTGCCAATTTTCGGGCTTCCTAGGTGGCCGGAACATTACCACCAGCACCAGAATCTAGGATCATTCCCCCCCAGTGGAGACGAACCCCCCGTGTTGGTGTTGGTGCCCATGTCCAAGCCTCCAAACGACGGCGCAGCGGGAGCTCGGCCAAGCAGAAGGGCTCAGGGGAAAATGTCTTGACGAAGACGGTCGGGAACTTTTGGATGCCGCTCCGCAGGTCGGGTATGTCCCCATACGGGCGGATTTTGGACGAGCAACAGAAATATTCAAACCATGCTTAAGGATATTCCAGAAATCATCGAAACATCGCCACACAGACTATTTTTTGATCACTTTTGTGCGCTCCTCCTGTAGAGGGGCAGGCCCGATTCAAGTTCAGGCCCAGGCCCACCACTCGGGCCGAACGAAAGGGGGGGATAGGGAACGGGGGGGGGGGTACGAAGTCTGATGCGTGCAGCTGGTTTCGGTCCCGCCGCCGGGCCCATTCCTCGGTGCATGGGCGCCTCCTAGCGCTGGGAGACGCCGGGAAAATCAGCTACGTGAGCTGATCCTCAACCACCCCTATGCTATCCCGTCAGACGGTGAAGTTATGCTACCTCCTATGCTATCCCCTATGCTATCCCCTGTGCTATCCCCTCTATGCTATCCCGCTATCCCTATGCTATCCTTCTCCTTTCGCCCGAGCCGCACCACGCCTCGGCGCGACACGCGCTCTCCGCCTCGCGCCGCGGCGCTCGCGGCCCCCCGGCGTGAGCGCCCCGAGCGGTGCCCAGCCTCGCGCCCCGAGGAGCGGAGCGACACGCTGCGGCGGAGGCGTTCGTTGAGGGACGTGCCCAGGGAGGCTGCAGACCTCCTCCTCCTCCTTCCTCCTCCTGACCCTCCCCCTCCTCCTCCTCCTCCTCCTCCTCTTCCTCCTCCTAGGTTCCTTATCTGAGGAGGGCGGCGGTGATACTCATGGCCAATCCACGATGGGAGGTCCACCAGCCTCCATACCCTGGATTCCTTCTCGAACGTTCCTTGTCCAATGCCCCCCACCATATTCGCTCGCACGGCATAGCGTGTCGCCCAGGTCGCCGCCGCGATGCGCTATCCAAAATCTCCTGACCGTAGGCTTAGGGAGGGAGGCATCGAACCCCAACTCGCCCTTGAATCGTCGACGTGGGGCCCACTGGCCCTCGTTAGGCAGGGGGGCCCCCACCACCTCGGACGGTGAAGTCAGGTTTTTGATCCACGACGAAAGCCAGTTGCAGGCGCAGGCAGCTGATCGCGGTGAGCCCACGTGTGGACGAGGGCTTACCGGTTCGGGGATCGGACATGCGAGGCCACTGCGCATCCTTGCTCATTTCCACACGCGCTTGCGGCCGATGGACGCGAAGCTGGAGTTCAGGAAGCAGCTCTTGACAGGAGCTTGTGGGCGAGATTCTGGACGCGGTCGTGTCGCTGATCATGGCATGGAGGTCAGCCATGAGGCATCTACGCAGCAGCGGGCAACGCGAGGAGTGCGACGCGCCGATGCCGAGGGCCTCCAGGCTGCGGGCGCCGGCATGGCACCGACGCGCGCGATCGGTCGATCCGCATCACGAGACGCCCGCACAGGAGACTCTCAGGGACGGCCCCGAGCCTGTCTCCACCGGTGAGCTGGGAGGTCCACAGGCCTTGCGCGACGCAGCCCGCGGCCACGTCCAGCGGGCAGGGGGCCGGTTCGTTCTTCCCCGTCGCCCAGCGAAGCCGCAGCTCCGTGGGCGCCGGCGGAGCTTCGGCCGAGCGCCATTTCATGTTCGGGACGGTTGGGCCGGCGGGTCGGCAGGAAGGCGCCAATGTCTGCGGGATGTCCTGGCCGGGGAGGGGCCGGGAAGTCCTGGTGCTCCCTGCTCCCGCTCTTCCGAACGCCGCCGACGCCGCGATTTTTTTTTCGCGCGCGCACATCGATGCCGAGCCCGCTGAGGTGGTGGGCCGCAGGCTGGCAGAGCTAGAGCTAGAGCGTCGAAGCGGAGGTCCGCACCTCGTAGGGAGGTCCTCGAACCCTGAAGACGGCCCCAGGCTCCAGCCTCGCAGCACGAGTCTCAAAGAGGTCTCTCAAGCAGCGGAACTCAAAACCGAACAGAGCTCCGAACCTCGAAGCTTGAAGGACCCAAGTCTTCCTCTTGATCCGTGGCTCCCAGGGGGCGGGTTTTAGTTGTTGCTCGTCCCCGTCGGTTGGGGCTCATTTCTGCGGGGGGCTTCCCTACTGCAGGTTCGTCCTGGTGTTGTTTTCTGGAGTTGCTTCTGGCTGGTAGTTCCAAGACTCGGGCCTGCTATTGTTTGTTGTTCGGTCGGATTTTGACGCTGGGGGCTGCTTGTGCACTGAGCTGATGGGTACATCTCGGGACTCGGGCATTTTCTCTCGGATCTTGGCGGTTGCTGCATTCTTGTACATCTATCTATCTGCACACGTATCAGAGTGAGGAGGCCGAGCGGTCTTACGCTGTCCTTGGGTGCGTGGCGGAAGTGGAGTACAGCGGTGAGGGTGTTTGCTGTCTGTTAAAGTCGTCGTCCTCGCACGTGAATCATCCGCGTTCCGCCCGCGACCAACCTGCGATGCACCCGCGACCCACCCGCCTTGCTTTGAAGAAAATTCGGCACCTGCGGCGGGCTCGTTGTGCAATGCATGAGAACCCAGCGACCGCGGCGGGCGTCTTCCAAATCCTGGGGTGTTCGCTTCTTGCTTTAAGTCGGGCCTGTCCCTCTGCAGGAGGGATACGCAAAAATAGTCAGAATATAGTCTGGGGAAGGTGTTTTTTTGTACTTTTGTGCATTTTTTGAATATTGTTTGACCAATTTTATTTGTCGTCCAAAATCCCCCTGTAGGGGGACACGCCCGACTTCATTCTTGCTTTCGGTCTGCTTATCCAGCTGTTCGTGGGTTCGGGCCTTGCTCACTGGGCTGGCGTCTGTCGAGGTTCAGGTCTGTGCCTCTCGGTCGGCGTTCCTGTGTTCTTCCGTTGGGCTTGGGCCTGGGCCTCGCGCTCTGTTGGTCTTCCTCCCAGCCTCAGCGAGGAGAGGACAGGGGGAGGAAGATGAATGGAGGAGACGGCAGATGAGGAGAACAACGTGGAAAAGGAGGGGGACAAGAGGAGCCTGGCTCTTGATTAAGTTGCGATCTGATACTTCAGCAGCCGTTCTGAACATGTGCCAGGAAAGGGCGTTGTGGAGAAATCTGTCCAGGCGCCATTGTGAACATTGCTCAGATGCAAGAACTGAGTCGGGAGGAAACCTAAATCTTTGTCCTACATGGAGGTGCATTGGTCCTTTCTGCTCCTTTTCCTGCCCTAGCTTGCGCTGCTCGTCATCCCCATGTTTTTCGCTTGCATGAAATTAGCACCGACCCTCCTCTCTCCACCCCCCTCCACCCCCCCTTGCATAAAATTAGCACCGACCCCCCTCCCCCTCTCTCTCCTCTCTCTCCACCCCCCCTCATTCATCCACCTCATCCTCCTCTACCGCCTCCCCTCATCCATGCACTTTCTCCTATGCCACCTCCCATCACCCCGTCTCCTCCCTACGCTTCCCGCCCCCTTCCGTTTCCTATTCCGCTTATCTTCTTCGTTCTTTCATGCATTTCCTCCTCTGTCGCCTCCCCCCACCCTCCTCCATTTCTCCACCTCCCTGCGCGACCATCATGTTATGCAGTCAGTGGTGGCGCTTTGCTTTCCACCCTTTATGGGCCTCGCCCACCTCTATTGGCGTTTTTGGGCTGCGCCACGGCTGATGTTAATAATGATCCTTGCTGCTTCCTCCTCACCCCTCCGACGAACGACGGCAACGACGACAAAGTCGACGAGCGAATGGTGCCTGCCAAGGCGCGGCGGGTAATCGCCGAGTGGGACGGCTACCACCGTCGCGCGCTCGCGCTGCAGGAACGGGGTGGGGAGGGAGAGAGAAGGGAGGAGGAGGAGGAGGAGGAGGAGGAGGAGGACGAGGATGAGGAGGATTCGCCTGCCTGATCCCGTCAACCGTGCGCATTCCAGCTGAGGCAGCGATTAAGAAAGAGCCCACCCATTCCCCAGGCGTTTCTTGAGTGTCATGGGGCAGCCTTACGACTTGTAGCCCGGAAGGTCATACCGAACTTGTAGCTGAGAGCTTTTGGTTCCGGCTATCTCCCCCGCATGTCGCGCACGAGCGTACGCATTGTAGCTGAAGATGTGGCACCCCTGCTTTTCTGGAGTTTGTCCCTGCACTGGAGCTGAGGGCTGCTCTCCGCCCTTCTCGCACTTCGTCATTTCATCGCTGTAGCTGATATCTGGCGCTAGCTGCGCCTTCCGCTTCTTTTTGAGCACGACAGAAGTCATTGCCCTCCCAGCGCTGTAGCTGATGACATCTGGCTGCGGCCTTGCCTCCGCTATTTCGCTGAGGCGAGAGAGATTTCTGCCTCTTCGCCCCCTTCTCGTCCACGGCGCTTCCAACATTGTCTTTGAGATACCAGGCTCGAGCTTCGCCTCGCGCCCTTCTCGCACGTCCTGATCCCAGCGCCGTAGCTGACATTGGGCTCTAGCTTCGCCTTCCCCAGTGCAGCTGCTGACCTCGGGCTCTCACTTCGCCTTCTTCATGCTGATGAGGAGCGGCAGAGCCTGCTGCCAACTCCTGCTGCCGCTGCCTGCCTGCTCGCACTGCCGGCACGCGCTGCCCCTGTCTGCCTTCCTGCACGGGCCAGCTCCAGCAGCGTTGCTGCTGAACGTTGTTTGGCTCGTGCCCGTGCTGCGGACGACCTCGGGCTACAGGTCCCGGCTTGACTAAGGAACCCTTGCTTGTCAGAAGGGGCTCGTTGGGTTGCATGCGTTCCGCTACCTTTTTGGCGGCGAGCCCCCCTGGTGTTCCTTCGGACTTCCTAGACTTACTTGGGAAGAACAGGGGCCTCGTTCCTTATCTGTCGTTCCTTAGGTCAGGCCGAATGCTGTACAGCTTCACCTCCAGATCCTCGCAGAGTGGTGTCACAGCCGCCTGCCGCTCTGCGCTCGTCTCGCGCCGCGCTGCCCGCCAATCTCCGTCCGGCCGGAAGGCGTCGCACGGCCAGAAGAGACAAACACCGCAGGCCTCGAGGTTGACACTCGGGCCGAACGAAAGGGGGGGATAGGGAAAGGGGGGGGTACGAAATCTGCTGCATGCAGCTGGTTTCGGCCCCGCCGCGGGGCCCATTCCTCGCGCCTCCTGGCGCCGGGAGGCGCCGGGAAAATCAGCTACGTGAGCTGATTCTCAAAACCCCCATTTGCTATCCCCCCCTTTCGCCCGGCCCGACAACATCGGCGGTGTGCCTTCACCGACGGAAGAAGATCCCGATCTCGGTGATGGTAATATTCTGGCTTTCAAGGTGACCGAAACATTGCCACCAACACCGAAATCTAGGATCACCTTCCCCCTGTGAGGCAATCCCCTGTCTTGGTGTTGGTGCCCATTTCCAGGCCTCCAAAAACACCGCAGGCACGCCAGCGGCTCCTCGCGCGCCCTGATCCCAACGTTGTAGCTGATGACATCGGGCTCTGTTGTTGTGCTCCTGGCTGCGACCTGTGCGTTTCGAGAGGCTGCGGGGCAAGCGGGCATCTGCGCTTGTCTTCAGATCCAGTGTGGTTCGGTTTGGTTTCCGGCTTTGGGCTGAGGTGTCGATTCATTTTTGCTGTAGAGCGTGGTGTTCGATTGGGTTTTGATTTGTGTGTTTCGAAGGGTCGCCGCGCAAGCGGGATATTAGAGTTTTTGATTTTGAGATCCAGCGTGCTTGGGTTTGGGTTCCGGGTTGGGACTGAAATTTTCAAGCAAGTCTATGTTCAGAGTTCCGTTTTGAAGTAGGTTGTGATTAGTTAATGAATTTCTACGGTTCGCCGCGCAAGCGGGAAATCCACACTTCGATTACAATTCAGTTAGATTGGGTTTTGTTCGGGTCGGGATTAAAATGTAAAATCAATAGGCGTTTGAAAATAGGCTCATGTTTAATAAGTGTGCGATGTGTGTGTGTGTGGTTCCAGGGGTCACATCGCAAGCGAGCATTATAATGTTTGCCTATTGTCAGTGTGCTTGGGTTTGGATATGGGCTCCGGGCTGGATCTGAAATGGTAAAGTATTTTGTTGTAGGCGTTCGTGTTCAATCGGGTTATGATGCGTTTGTTTCGAGGGGTCGTCGCGCAAGCGAGAAGTGTAAATGTTGTATTGTAACGGATGTTGTTCGGAATTCATGTTATGAGCAGGTGTGTTGTCATGTTTGTTTAGTTTGCCGTTGTTGCGTCATTCGATGAGCCGTTTGATGTTGCTATTGTCAATCCGTGGTCGGATGTTTTTGGGCATGTTCGAGCTAATGTGTTTGATGCATTATGTATGTTTCATATGTTTGTGGACATTGGTCGTTCACGTCCGCCGGCGGCTGCAGCTGCCATTCTACCAGTAGGAGAAAGAGTAACCTCACATTCAACTAACAATTCGACTGCGCGGTGGGTGGTATAACCAATTCAGATACGTGCAAGATGGGTTCGTTTCTCAAGTTGTGAGAACGATGTTCAGGCAAGTGGGCGCGCTCTTCAGGAAGAAAAGCCGTAGACCAGCACTGTCGTAAAGTGGTAGAACGGTGCAGCTTTTTTACCTAACAGCGAAGACTGACAGGTTTCTAGTAGGGTCAAAAGAGAGCGCCAGATGACTCCACAGGGGGGTCCGGGCGGCATCCGGGGAGCTGGGTCCGAATTCGTTTTTCGCAAACAGTCACACACTTCGTGCTCTTCGACCTCACAGAACTCCATTCCCGGGCCACATTCTGAATGCCCGGAGCCAACTGTAGGCCACTTCGTGCTCTTCGACTTCCCAGAACTCCATTCCCGGGCCACATTTTGAATGCCCGGAGCCAACTGTAGGCCACTTCGTGCTCTTCGAGTTCCCAGAACTCCATTCCCGGGCCACATTTTGAATGCCCGGAGCCAACTGTAGGCCACTTCGTGGTCTTCGAGTTCCCAGAACTCCATTCCTGGGCATGATTTTGAATGCCCGGAGCCAACTGTAGGCCACTTCGTGGTCTTCGAGTTCCCAGAACTCCATTCCTGGGCACATTTTGAATGCCCGGAGCCAACTGTAGGCCACTTCGTGTCTTCGAGTTCCCAAAACTCCATTCCTGGGCATGATTTTTACCCGGAGCCAACTGTAGGCCAAGGCTCTTCGTTCGTGTTCTTCGAGTTCCCAAACTCCATTCCCGGGCCACATTTTGAATGCTGAGGCAGGCTGAGGCTGAGGCTGAGGCAGGCTGAGGCTGAGGCAGGCTGAGGCTGAGGCCGAGGCTGAAGGCAGACTGAGGCTCAGGCTGAAGCAGGCTGAGGCTGAGGCTGAGGCAGGCTGAGGCTGAGGCTGAGGCAGGCTGATGCTGAGGCAGGCTGAGGCTGAGGCTGAGGCAGGCTGAGGCTGAGGCAGGCTGAGGCTGAGGCAGGCTGAGGCTGAGGCAGGCTGAGGCTGAGGCTGAGGCAGGCTGATGCTGAGGCAGGCTGAGGCTGAGGCTGAGGCTGATGCAGGCTGAGGCTGAGGCAGGCTGAGGCTGAGGCCGAGGCTGAAGGCAGACTGAGGCTGAGGCTGAAGCAGGCTGAGGCTGAGGCTGAGGCTGAGGCTGAGGCTGAGGCAGGCTGAGGCTGAGGCTGAGGCTGATGCAGGCTGAGGCTGAGGCAGGCTGAGGCTGAGGCCGAGGCTGAAGGCAGACTGAGGCTGAGGCTGAAGCAGGCTGAGGCTGAGGCTGAGGCAGGCTGAGGCTGAGGCTGAGGCAGGCTGATGCTGAGGCAGGCTGAGGCTGAGGCTGAGGCTGATGCAGGCTGAGGCTGAGGCAGGCTGAGGCTGAGGCCGAGGCTGAAGGCAGACTGAGGCTGAGGCTGAAGCAGGCTGAGGCTGAGGCTGAGGCAGGCTGAGGCTGAGGCTGAGGCAGGCTGAGGCTGAGGCTGATGCAGGCTGAGGCTGAGGCTGATGCAGGCTGATGCTGAGGCAGGCTGAGGCTGAGGCCGAGGCTGAAGGCAGACTGAGGCTGAGGTTGAAGCAGGCTGCTGAGGCTGAGGCAGGCTGAGGCTGAGGCTGAGGCAGGCTGAGGCTGAGTCTGTGACTGCGACTGCCGTTGCCACTGCGACTTTCATCGCGAATGCGACTGCGACTGCGAGAACAGCAGAATTCTACAACTGGATTCTCATATGAATCTCAAGGGGAATGCTTCCAGGTATGCTCCTACACATCGCTGTTAGGTTGCTTTGCCGGGATAATCACCTTCTATCTCGCTGAGTAACTAAGGACAGAGTTTGTTGCCATTGCTAGGCCTTCTCACACGCAAGAACTGACCCCAGCCCTATAACTGATGTCGTTGGCCCACACGGTCGGCCCCCAGCGTTGTAGCTGATGTTGTCGGCCCACGCGTCGCTCGCATTGGCAACGTCTGCTGCCATTGCTAGCCATTCTCGCGTAGATAGCGCGTACTGTCACTGGCTATGCTATGGTTGCGCACGACCTCGCTCCATCGGTGTAGCTGATGGTGGTTGGTTCCTGCACATGCAATTCCGCGATGACAGAGGTTGCCGTCACTGCTCTTCCTTTCTCGCGCTGGCAATAGCGGCTGCCTCTATTCCATTTCTCGTACGATTTGACCCCAGCGTTGTAGCTGACCATGCTGCATTCCTTGTGGTTTGAGTCCTGCGCTGTTGCAGCGGCCCGGCGCTAGTGGTCGCCACTGCGCCAACGGGGCAGAGGAGGGGGAGGAAGGCGAGAGCGAGGAGGGGCCAGGGGATGGCACTCCTCCTGGCGGCCTCGCCCACGCCTGACCTCAGCATTGTAGCTGATGATGCTGGGCGAGGCGATGCTTCATAAAAGAAAGGCCCGCGAGCGCGAGGCCATGCGCGCTCCCCGTGCAGGGGGCCGCTCGGACGCG